AATTGAGGAATTTCGAGAAAATTGCATTAAATTGGGCGTGCTTGTGAAATTAACTTTCACCAGCAAACTATACTGACCAGGCGCGTAATAGTTCATGTCCCCTCACGACTAAGAGAACACAAGATGACATCTGAAGTTAAGGCAGCATCACCTAAATTCTAGGTTATCAGTTTCAACAGGGATTATAGCTCAATATTGACCGAACAAATCGAACAATTCCCGCGAATGATGATTTGATGTCAGCTACGAATGCTACCTCATGAATGGAGCTTATGTATGATCCTGGAATTGCTCAATTAAAAGCGTTACCTACGCTCGTAACTTTTAGGGAGGAACGCGCTTCTGAGCTTAAAATAGCTCGAAACAGCCTCTTTGATTGACAAAAAAGATCTAACAGTTGTGGTGATAAGATTAACGTTTCTCATTGGCTTTCTCCTTATGAGGTCAAAATACGTATGGAAAACTTTTTTCAACCACCTGTAACCACCTTTTAAGCGCTCAGCCGATAGGCAACGCTTTTTGATTTCGACTTGCCTCTAGAGGACTAGTATACTAGTGCTAATTCGTTTAAATGGCGCACCAGCTCATCGATGTGTAGGTTTTTGGGGGGGGGGAGGGGGTCCAGTTTTAAAAAAATAAAGCTGTGATAACCGTATTTTCTGCTTGTAACGTATTGCGCGGGTAGTTTCGATCGTTTGTCTATAAGAAAATTCCTTAGAGGTAGAGTAATTCTTATCGAAATTGATCGTTGAAGTTGAGACACGCCTGATAAAACTCGCCTGATGAGCTCAACGGTGGCTTGCATTTTCGTGAAACGAAAAAACGCGTTTACATAGACAATATTGCGCTCCTTTCATTACTTTACTAATGTTGAATATTGTTCCCAAGTTCGGGTGTGTACGGTGTGTAGTATCACAAGCACCTTGTGTCAGTGTCACTCTCATTGGTTTTCGTTGTGTACGGTGTGTAGTAGCACAAGCACCTTGCGTCAGTGTCACTCTCATTGGTTTTCAGCGGTATATCAAATCTGAAGATTAATTTACGTCGACACAACTCATTGCCAGTTAGTGTCTCTCTTCATCTGTGAGTTCCTCTGTGAAAGTTCCATTCCTTGGTTTCCTTGGTAACCTCTGTTTGCTATCAGCTGATGTTTTATTTCCATTTCCCAGCCAAGTCGACGGAGTTTATACTTCCTTTCTTCACTAAATACATAGACTAAAACCTGAGCGCTTTTCTAATACGACAGTATTAGAACTTTCCCGCTTGTTTTTTCATCTAATGTATAATGGCGGATGCACGACCGGAATGTATTTAAACAATTGGATTGCATTTTGCAAAAAGGAACCAATAGCATTGCCATGATGCTAAGATTGTGCAACTTCATCTTTTGCAATAAAATTGCGAAAATCGTGGAAAACTATGGAATTTAGATGGTAATTTTTGTCTTAAATTTACAGTTTTTAGCGAGTAAAATAGAAACTATTAATGGATAATCGGGTTTTTCCTCCAAGACAAAAGAAGTTGCACAATCTTAGCAACATTGCAATGCTAGTAGTTCCTTTTTGCAAAATGCAATCCAATTGCAAGTGAAAGTGAAAGGATCTTGGCGTCATTGATCCTTGTAACGTCACGAAATCTGTTGGCACTACATTTTTCCGTTTGTAAACATAATCGCGATGTATAAAAAAATAGAGCTACAAGCGAAAATAATTATTATGATGATAATATTTCCAACTACATGTCGATGAGAAAAATGCAACTTACGAGAATCAAAGCAGACGTCTCGACCTACAAACTACTACAACCTAACTACATAGTTTGGTAATAGTTTTTTGTAATTTGCCATGGGCTCCTGCTTAAAATTTTCTTGAGATACTGTTTTGACTTAAAACGATACTTAAACTTTACAGCGTTAATTTGCTATCGTTAGGTTGAAACCTGTATGCCATGAATTAATTTTGAATCTCAGATTCTGGGGGATACTAATCTATATTGTAGCTTCCAAAAAAATCTATGAGTACCGAATATTTTTCAAGGTTTTACATTTCTGGGAATTACTTATTCCAAAAATAAAGCTAATGAAAATTTGAAAAATCATGCCACAGAGATGAGATTCAACTTCGAAAAACCCCCAAAAAATGTTGCTACGAATTCGTAACGCTATATCATAGAGGGTTGAATTGAAAAAAAACAATCACACAACAACGTTTCTTTAACTTAAAAAACTGACATTAAATTCAATCCGCACGGATTTGACAAAAAAAAATTAAATAAAATTAAAATGATAAAAAATCTTTGCGAACCAGACGAGGCACTTCTTAATTAATCGATTCTTGTTGGAGCACATGACCCCTCCAAGTATCGATACATTTCCATAGGTTTAAATTGAGAAAAGGCAATGTTGCCAATTTGCTGGATCCGCCAATGGACCTGTGCTTGAAGTATATATCTACCGTCTTGTAGGCGCTAATGTGCGTTTCGCTCCGACCGCACGGTTTGGCGCTATTAGTTGAACTCGCTAATTGTAAGTCAGTGTTTTTCAGCATGTTCCTAACATTAAGTTGTGCAAGCTTTTAATGGATTACTGTCATTTATAATGTAGGGGGGGGGAAACTTGAGATCTAATTAATTTACATTGGTTTCTTCCGTAGCCAACGACATTGGAAATTTATTCTTTTCAGGATTTAAAAACGGAACACATATTTTCCGGAACGAATCCCAACCTGGATTTTCCAGGTACATATGCAGACCCTGTCACGGAGACATAAAAGTACATGCAGCTGTGCACTACTCTACTGTAAACTGCACGGGAAGGGGGGGGGGGTACAACTACTTTTGAAGTTTCTTGCCCTAATTTTGTAATGGGGGGGGGATGAAATAATCCAACGCTCGTAGTCAAATGGTAGAGCTGATCCATATCTCGATACAAAATACAACGGTACTAGATGCAGGGGCTAGGTGCTACCTATACTCGCTGCCTCGAAGATACGAATGAATCCGCCGCGAATCTCGAGAGCATACATCTCGCAGCAGCCGATCGAGCGATGACGTCAAAGACGTGATTGCGAGATAAATCGGCGCTTCGAGATGGATACTCTAAACATCCAAATGCCCGCCTGAGCCTGCACTTGCGAAATCGATGCGATGGCTTTCGGCCCGAATGAGCTAGAAAGCATAATGGAATGTGGCCCTTAAACGTAAGTGGTATGGCCTCATTCTATTACAATTTAACAATCAAACGCTCAGAAAACTCAGATTTCTGGACTACTCGAAGTTCTCTTTTGGCGCGTATACGCAGTGTACCGCCTTTGCAAGCTTAAATAGTTGCGTCAAGTCCCCGTCACCGCCGACCAACGCGTTTTCCGATCCAATCAACTACAGGTATTATGCGTAGGAAGTCAAAACACCTTCAATATTTTGAACGCAATACGGACATCCGTCGAGGTTGTATAGTTGT